TAACACAATTATTTTAATCTTTTTAACCGGAAAAATCTTTGATCATTAATTAAAGTGAAATATTTTAATTAATTAAAATTTTGACTAAATTAATCAAATGGGAAAAAATTATTTTAGACATCGAAAGTAATTTGGAATTCACCAAAATACTTTCACTTCTAATAATGAACAAGTTAGTAAGAAAAATGCATAGAGAAAGTTTTTATTGTTATTTTTTTAAAAAATTTTAGTAATTTATGTAACTAATATTAATAAAAATTCAATATTCTAATTGTTACATCTAAGAAAATGTATTATAGATATTATAAAAATTCTTAATACACTTATAATATATTTTGTTAGAATATTTTCACTTATATAAAATTTTAAAGTGAGCTTTCACTAAACAATAAAAAAGAAATCTAGTGGACATAGTATAAAAGAATTTTCCGGTTCCTTTCTTGTTTGTGCATTATTGCTTTTTAACCGTTACTCCTCTAGTGCTCTAGTAGTCAATATATTAGTCAATGAATATATTTGCCCTATTTAAATATAAAGCAAATATATTTATTTTTTAGCCTTAGAATAAGGGGTTTTATGTCATTTTATTTTATTAATTAAGAGAGTGGTTATGTTATTTTAATATGTATTTTGAACTAAGTAGGTGAAGAAGTGTTAGGTTGACTCTAAGAGCTTGTTTGGTTTAGTTTAAGGGAAGGGACGGTTACTCTTTTTAACTTTAGGTTTATTTATTTATTTTTTGTATTTTAACATATTCAAATGAGGAAAAAAGAAGCACTTGACTCTTTGAATCAATTAACAATCTACTAGCTTGAAGTACATTCTCTTGTTCTCATAGGTGAGCTTGGAGCCCACTCATTGACAGCTTATTAAAAAAAAATGAGGAAAAAAAAAAAGAAACTATTTATTTTAATTGCTATCATCATTCACTAAATTTCAATTACTATACTAAATAGACCCTAAATATGACATTACATTTTTTTTATCAACATAAAATTGCATGTACAAGAGGATCTTAATTCTTTATTTATTTATTAAAAATGAAGCCTAACTAATTTGACAACACCATACGACAGTCATTTTTCTCAATTCATTTCCACTTGTTCAAGAATTCCACAACTCAAGGCTTTCAACAAAGGGGTTCCCACCCTTAATTATTGTGACATTCTCCAAAGACAAAATGTGCAGTAACCATTTTTTTATTTATAGTTACATATAATGTGTTCTTTGCATTTTTTTTTATATATTTTAAGATTAATTTTGTTTTAAATTATTTTAAAGTGTATCACTTATATTAGTTTAATGTATTTAAAAAGATTAATTTTTTAAATATTAATTTTAAAATATTAATTTTATTTTAATTTATAAATAACTTATAAAATAACATTATTTATTAGTAAATTTAACTCTAATATTAAATATACAGTAGCTAAATAGGAGTAGATGAATTATTGTTTTGATGCCTTGTTCTTCCACATACCCTGACCAACAAGGCACTATATAACTCCCATTTTCTAAGAACAAAGCTACCGCCATAACCAGTCTTTCAGCTGCGGCATTATTCTCCAATCTCCGTTAGAAAGAGAAGGTAATCCATGGAGGCTGTCCGCTTCACATCCCCACACCCACCCCTTCTACGCCATCAAATGCACCAGTTTTCGGCCTCCAGGGGACCCCAAGTTTCTGCCAAAACAAACCCAAATGCCCGGCCGGCGATCAAGGCCAGCCTGTCCAAACAGACGGCGGAACCTCTCCGGCCGTTCCTTACGAGGAGACTTCTTCTTCTTCGAAGGTTTCGTCTCCTCCACCTAAAAGGGTATCTTTTAATTCGCTTCAATATCCGCCTGGTTACCTGGGCGCTGTACGGAATTGTTCAGTTACTGAAGGAAATGGCAGCATTATAAATGCTATGGAGTATTTGACAAATATATTTTCTTCTAAGGTATACGATGTGGCAATTGAGTCTCCCTTACAGTTAGCGCCAAAGTTATCCGAGAGATTGGGGGTTAATGTTTGGCTCAAGAGAGAGGATTTGCAGCCTGTAAGTTTGTCTCTTCCCTCTTTTTTTTTTGGTTATTTTTCAAAGTTTGCTCTTTTTAACTATACAATTTTAGTTTACTTTAGTACCATCTTTTATGAATTTTTAGGATTATAATCTTGAAACGTTTTCATTTAAATTTGCAAACTTTCAGGTTTTCTCGTTCAGGCTACGTGGAGCTTACAATATGATGGCAAAACTTAGAAAAGAACAGTTAGAAAGAGGAGTTATCTGTTCCTCGGCTGGAAATCATGCTCAAGGTGTTGCATTATCTGCGCAAAGACTTGGTTGCAATGCTGTGATTGTCATGCCTGTTACTACACCAGAAATCAAGGTAACCTCCCATCATTTTGCTTTTATTAAATGGATCATGATAATATGGTTTCCCAATTGAATTTTGGTTTGCTGTTATCCAGTGGCAATCTGTTAAGAGATTGGGAGCAACTGTTGTTCTTGTGGGTGATTCTTATGATGAGGCACAGGCATATGCTAAAAAGCGAGCCAATGAGGAATCCCTGACATTTATACCTCCATTTGACCATCGAGATGTAATCACGGGACAAGGGACGGTTGGGATGGAAATTGTGCGCCAAATGCAAGAACCGTTACATGCAATATTTGTACCCATTGGTGGTGGTGGTCTGATAGCTGGTATTGCTGCTTATGTGAAGAGGGTATCCCCAGAGGTCTGCCAGTATTCTGTTGCACTTTCTTTTCAAAATGACCTCATTCCAAGTCCTAGGCATCTTGTCAATAGAAATTATGACAAAATCTGTCTCTGTTGGACTGCTTAAGACCTCCCAGAAAGCTGCCTTAAGAAGGGTCTGATATTAGTTTGTTGTACTTGGGGCAGCAACCTTAACTGGTTGAGAGGTAGTATCATAACTAGCCTAACTGAATCCTCTCAAGTATTAAGGGAATCAAATAGACCTTAAAAATTGTCATCTTTGTGCCTTTTTTGCAAGCCTAGCCTGAACTAGCATGCCAAATGGTGACATTGATTCTCTCATCTTCTTTTATAACTTAGTGTGGAATGAAACCCCACCAGTTTTTTCAACTTTCAGCATAGTTTTGATACACTATTTATGAAAGTAGATGCAAAAGATCAACTTCTTGATGTTCTTTACATGATAATCTTAATAGAAAATGAACTGCACTAAAAGTTGATATTCCAAAATGGTTTATTGTTCACAACTGGTTTTGTATCTTTCATTTACTTTCTTTATCTTTGAAAACACCTTTGGTGTTCAAAAGAGTTGCACACAGACTTATCTCTTCTTACAAAAAGGCTAATTTCTTATGATCTAATAGATCCTTATTCCTCTAACATCTTACCTTGAATTTCCTTAAGTACTGATTGGCCATGGGTATTCTTTCATGTTTGTTGGTAATAACCCTTATTCATGCTTCAAATGGTTAATAATGAGTTTGTGTAGCAAACTTGTATTCATTTTTTCCTCTACCTATTTTCTATGGATTTACTTTTGGTTAATTTGTTTTTAGTTTTTACCCCATGTATATCATACTTATTTCAGAGCACTTACTCTGACTTCACTAACAGGTCAAGATTATCGGTGTGGAGCCCTCAGATGCAAATGCTATGGCATTATCTTTACATCATGGTGAGAGAGTGATGTTGGATCAAGTTGGTGGCTTTGCAGATGGTGTAGCGGTTAAAGAGGTTGGAGAAGAAACGTTTTGTCTCTGTAAAGAATTGCTAGATGGCATTGTCCTTGTTGGCCGTGATGCCATATGTGCCTCTATTAAGGTAAGACTTGCATGTTTCAGTGTTTTCTTTTGATTTGTTCCTTTTGACTTACTGCTACAACTGGGCTTATTTCTTAGAGAGAAATGTGAGATACAATCTTGTCTGTTTGCGCATTATGTAATACTATCTTTTTGGTTGGTGTTTTCTGTATTTTCTTGTTAGTGGCTTATTTTAAGCACTGATCTTTCTCACTCTCATATTGCTCTCTCTGAGTGCTTAAGATTTATGATTGTGGAGCTCATATTGCAGGATATGTTTGAGGAGAAAAGAAGCATTTTAGAACCAGCTAGTGCTCTTGCTCTTGCTGGTGCCGCAGCCTATTGCAGGTATTATGGCCTCAAGAAAGAGAATGTTCTAGCAATCACTAGTGGGGCGAATATGAACTTTGATAAGCTTAGGATTGTTACTGAACTTGCTAATGTTGGTAGATGACAAGAGGCTTTGCTTGCCACTGTGATGCCAGAAACACCTGGGAGCTTCAAGCAATTTTGTGAATTGGTACGTTTTTCACAATTTCATGAATTTGTATAGTTCGAGCAGTTTGTCACGATTAAATATCTTTTCTTGTTGTGTTTCCTGAAATTCAATTGTGATGACAGGTGGGGCCTGTGAATATTACTGAGTTCAACTATAGGTCTAGGCATGATAAAGAAGCTATTCTGCTGTACAGGTATGTAGTTTCCTATCTTTAATGATGATTAAGAAATTTGAAATCATTATATTGACTCTTATTTCTAGGAACCATTTTCTATATGACTTACTACAGGTTCTCTTGCTCTGCAATCTAGGGATCTTTTTACGTTTGAATTGCTAATTAATTTCTTACTTTTTTTATAGTTGAAAAAAGAGTTCATCCGGAAGTGAGAAATGCATAAATTGAGGTATTTTACTTTTGTTGATTGCAGTGTTGGTGTTCACGTGGTATCTGAGGTTGAGGCAATGAAGCAGAGGATGGAATCTGCTCAACTCAGAACTCATGATCTCACATCGAGTGACTTGGTTAAAGATCACTTGCGTTATATGGTAAATCTTAGCCTCTTATCACTTATGAATTATCTTTGTTTGCAGTCCTTCCTACAACATTCACAAGAATTTGGTTTACCTGATTCAGTACCTTTTTCAAAGTTAGAATGGTTTTTTTTTATTTCAAATATATTGATCCCAAATGCTGAGTTAAAACTCATTGGCTACCATTTGTATCATTCCTTCCTTAACTTGCCAACTAACTTGTTATCATCTTTCAGATGGGAGGCAGATCAAGTGTTGAAAATGAGGTTCTTTATTGCTTTATCTTCCCGGAGAGGCCTGGTGCCTTGATGAAGTTCTTAGATGCTTTTAGTCCACGTTGGAATATTAGTTTGTTCCATTACCGTGCTCAGGTTGGCATCTGAAACCTTAATTGTCATGTCACTGATATTGTATTACAAATTAAAGAGTTTTATGTTTAAAAAATTACTACCTTCTTGTTTTGATCTCATCCTTTATATTTCCTGTTCAACAGGGTGCAACCGGTGCAAATGTGTTGGTTGCAATCCAAGTTGCACAGAGTGAGATGGGTGAGTTTCAACACCAGGCTGACAGCCTAGGATATGAGTATGAGGTGCTAACTGATGACAATAACTTTAAAGTTCTATTGCACTGAATCAAATCGGGTTCATTTTCTAGCGCAAGTGAGCAATCAAATTAAGCTGCGCAAATTTTAGGAGCTTTAATAAAAACCAAGTTTAGGAATAATAGTCAATGACTTAAGTAGTTTAGCAATACTCTCCTTGTGAAAGTAAAAGTCTTGTATTTGTGTTGTATGATAGTAGGTTTCTTCTTATTTTGTAACTCAAGATCAAAAAATTAAAAATAAAAGTAGGAATAATGGTTTTTGATCAACCATTTTTGTAATATAGGAAGATAAGGAAGTGGTAGGAGTTCACTTAATCGTGCTTGGGTAATTTTTTATGCTTTGTAACGCGAAAGAATTGTTGGTTTGATTGAATGAGCTTTGGTTGTTTTGGTAGGTAATGAATTATTGCAATCCATGGATGAAATTTTTCAGAGGACATTTAAGTTGAGAGACTTCATTCACACTGGCATTTTCTTTCTGAAACTGGAAGCCCAACAAGCTAATAAGCATCAAAATAATAATTGGCCTTAAAGGGTGATTCAATTGATTATTAACAACTTGCAATTCTAACTTGAAAATTTCAAAGCTCAAACTTTTAATCTAATGAAGAAAGATTTTAAAAAAATAAAAGGTTATCTTTTATTATATAATTCAGCATTAAATATATTAAAAAAATTAAAGTAAATTTAAGTTTAGTTCAAGTTGGACAGCATGATATTTGCTAAATAACACTCATAAAGACTTAAGGGTGGACTTTAAAGGGATACCTTAATACTTAAGTCACTAATAATATAGATACAGATGTCTTATGTCTTATAAACAGCTCAAATGGAGAGAGAGTGAAGGAAAGGAATCATTGTACAAAGGAGGATGCCTACATTTAGGCTTTGATTTGAGAATGTAAGACTATAGTTGTATCCATAGGTTTTTTGAATTTTTAATATTTTAAAAATATTAAAAAAATATAAAAGTTCAAAGTTAAAGTATAAAAAGATGTTTTCAAAGAAAACCTCATACAGCGTTGGGAGTTGGGACCACGTCCATGTGTTGCCTTGTTATTGACTGCCATGGATGCACTGCAGTGGTTTGAGTGTTCATGGACCTGCGTATGAGATGCTTAATGGGCTTTTTAGTGCTTCATGGATGACTAAGGATGCGTTTGACATTACGGTTGGGGTTTTTTCGTGTAATCGTATAGTGCTTTTAGCTATATGTATATTTAATAATTTTTATTAGATTACTTTTTTTAAAAGCTATCGAAAACCACAGTAAATTTATAGTAATTATATATATAAAATCAAAAATCTCATTTTAGAGTTTTCTGATGGTAGTTTTTACGAAAAACACTTAATATTTAATATAATTATAAAATTACATATTAAAAGCCAATTTCATATAATTTAATTACATAATAATTTATAATATTTTAATAATGATAACAGATTTAAA